TTGTTTTTGGTCTAACTCGTGTTTAGCATCCTTCCTTTGTTCACATCGAGGTTAATACTCTCTTCCAGGTCAAACCTCCAACTTCTCCAAGAGGAGGAGGATAAGGTCATTCTCTTCCTCTTGTTCTACTTCTTGTGACATCTATAGATGAGAGCAGCACTTCTTGGGCTTGGAACTTGACTTCCCCAGAGCAGCGAGGACGGCCTCTTCAAACACATCCTGCACTCCTATCTGAGAACAAGACAGAAAGGGAAACTCAAAGCTACCAAGAAGAAGAAGAAGAAAAAAACCTAAAAAGAAACACCAATAAAAACAACACATCAGAAAAAATATGTATTTAGTTTGAGATGGAACAGCGAGTATAATGAGACTCAAATAAAGAACAAGGCAATTGCAAATTTTCTGTAACCCCTAAATCAGATGGATGACAGTGGAGGAAAAGGGAGTCCTTTTGAGCACATGTAGCATGCGGGACTTCAGAGGTAGCTGAGAGGCACTATTAGACCTCAAAGGCTGTTTTGGTTGACCCAACTTTGCAACATTATGTGGAAAAGTTTGTCTCCCTTAACAAACCGGGGTGGTGGATCTGTTTTATAAGAAGTGGGTGTGCTCTTAGGTAGGGGATCACACTTACTGCGTGACGGTCTATGCCTGGCACTAGAGAGGAGAGTCAATCTATAGGTTGAAACTTAAATTCATGTTGAACAATATGCTTTGCGTTGTGGTTGTGGAGCAGTGAACCAGCTTAATAAATCTTCTTTATTAAGGGTGCATGCGAGTGTGCAAAACCTGCCTAAATGTTTTGTTGTCTAGGAGAAGGCATTTAGTAATGCTATGGTGGTTTTTATTCTTGTGTTTTTCAGATGACATTTGCCTTTAATTCACATTTTTAGAAACAGATCTGCAATAGTGAAACCATGACCAGCACCTGGAAATATCAGTCAGAAACCCTAAAAACCTGCAATATCTATAGTGATCCATTTAGTAGTTAAAAAACACACACCAGCAGACTTCTTCTCTTTTTGTACCTGTGTAAGAGCTGAGCACTCCACATATTTGACAGCTTTCAGGTGACGAGCCACTTCCTCGCCGTCCTTGAAGGTCACAACTTGCTCGTTTTCCTTGCCCAGCATCTCCAGGGTGTATCTGTCATCTCTCAGATCCACCTTAGTCCCGACCAGCAGGAAGGGGGTCCCCGGACAGTGGCATGCAATCTCTGGCAACCACTGTGACATCACAGTGGTTGCATCACATCACATCACATAGATTAATAATTAATTTATATATTATTATTTTAATCGAAATTACTTTTAAGTACCAAGTACTTATTTATTCTGAAAGTAAAAGGCATAAATGTAGATCTTATTAGAAAAAAAATGCATACACCAAGTAGACAAACCTTGTTTGTGACCTTTTGAAAAGATGAGGGTGAAACCACGGAGAAACAGACGAGGAAAACGTCCGTCTGTGGGTAGCTGTTGGCTCGCAATCTGTCATAGTCCTCCTGACCTGAAGGGTGAGACACAAAAAGCCTGATTAAAAGTTAGATTAATGCTATTATCTGAAACATTTAAGTGATTAATGGAAAATTATTTTTTTTAAGTTAGCATGGGGCAACAAAAGGCTGGAAAATGACATTTTTTGAAAAGAAACAGCTGGAGCAATATTTCCAACTGATTGGGTTCATTTGCAACAGATCAGTAACAGGATTTAAAAATATAAAAGGCACATTTAATAGACACAGTTTCTCAGAATGTTCATCAATCTGAAAATTGTGGAACAATTTCAGAACAGTGTTCCTTAATGTGAAAACTGTGGTATCTCGTCATTTACAGTAGAGAGTGTCATCAAATGTTTAATAAAACCTGGAGTAGTCTCTCACCAAAAAGGCTGTTCCAGATTATTCCTCCCCCGTTTATATTCTTTCATCTCTTTTTTGGAAAAGATGGATGATGGAAACACCAACAGGGTTGTCTTTTATGTCTTATTGTTCCCTCCATGAGGGCTTGATCAGTTTAATGTTTGAAGGCGCGTAATGACGTGAAATAAACACTTCGCTCAAATGTCTTGAACCTGTCAGAAAAATACATACCGCGGTAAACTACAAAAAAATGTAATTAAGTGCACTAATGAAGTATTTAGACTTCTTTACTTCTCACCTCTCTTCAAAACTAAAAGTATGAGGATTACTAAAGTAATTTATTAACAATTCTTGTTTTATTAATGTTGTTAGCATGGAAAACACTAGCCGGTATTCAGGCTGTACACGTGCCCTTTTACAGTTGAAATTATCCTCAAAGTCTGCTTGTAGTAGAAAACAAAAACATACAAACATTTATTTTCACACACAATCCTGAATTCACAGGAATTAGCCTGAACGTCCCTGTAATGCACCAGACACGGTCTGAAAAGTGTTTCACTCCACAGCTAGTTATTGCCTCTCTACAGTGCAGAAGTCCAACAACCCACACTGCACGATTACTGTGCATTAAAAAAACAGTACATAAAAATTAAATAAGTGGGAAAATACAGTTTAACAATAAACATTACACTAAAAGAAGATTTTAAAGCAAAATTAATACTTATCTGTATTCACAGTAATTCAACTCAAAATTATTAACAAATATACATTCTGCAAAATGCGAGTGAAGTAAGAGAAACTTCCAGACCGTTATCTTATACAAATGTGTTCATTGAAATACATTTTGTGAATGACATTATAATTGCCCCTAAAGGTTTGATCTCCTGCTGCTGCTGTTACTAATATAAATATTACTTAACTGAAATTTTTAGTATTTATTAAACTGAATGTAGATTTTTATTTATTTATTTATTTTTACCTGAAGTGTCCCAGAGTTCCAGATTGTACTTCTCACCATTCGTCACTGTAGCAAAGTAGTTATCAAACACCTGGGGGAGACAGAGGGCAAGGAGGACGTAGGTTGGTTATAAGATCAGTGCCTCAGGTCTGGGCTGTGTGGATATCTCTGTCTGCCTCTGGCTCCTGGGGCCCGTTATTGTGGATTCCCACCTCCGTCTTCAAGTACATTTCATGACAAAGACACAGGCACTGTCTCTCACTCTGTCTCTCTCTCTCTTTCTCTCCACACACACACACACACACACACACACACACACACACACACACACACACAGAACACCCACACACACCACACACCACACTGCCTCGTGCCTATGGTACGACAACTTTCCTCGTGCCTATGGTACAACAATTTCTCCGTGCCCCTGGTACACCGCTCAGAAACACTTTGCCACACACACACACACACACACACACACTCACACCACACACCACACACACACACACACACACACACACACACACACACACACACACACACACGCTTTCATTTCAGGCGCTGTGTGTTTGTCTTTTCTTACAGTTGGTGATACAGTGTGCATTTCTTTTGTACTCTATTCTTTTATTATATTTTCACCTATTGTCACCCCTCTTCCCTTTTTCCTGCCTGTCCTGCCTTACACATTCTCAAACTGTAACACATACAGTATAATGTAATAACTGAAATAACAGGAATTGTAATGAATAAGTAAAAAGATAAAATAAACACCTGAACAAAAGAAGCCTATGAAGAATTTATAGAGCCAATCTTGGAAAAGCAAAATTTGTTTGCACAACAGAACATTCGGATCATAACTTTGATTGCAAAGCTGTCACACAGGAGAGGATTAAAAAAAAACAATTATTCAAAAAAATAAAATAAGATCTTGAGAAACATTGCAGGTTGTTGACATGGACTGAATAAACTGATAAAACTGGGATTTATTAGCACACTACTCACTGTGGGGATGTACTCAGAGGGATACTCTTTGGTTACGTATGTGATGAGCATGCAGGTCTTTCCCACTGCACCGTCACCCACCACCACACACTTTATTCCCTTATCCTGAGAGAAAGAAAAAGAATTAAGGGAGGAAAAGAAGAAATGTTGGAAAACAAATGAACTGTGTCAGGTAAAGCAGTTTCACCCCAGTTCTTTTTATTCCTCAGGCCTCCAGAGACAACACATTTAAAAGATAAAATGGAGTCTGACGCACGGGTAGCGATAGGAAGGTTGTTCCACAGATTCGGTGCAACCAGGGCAAAAGCACGGTCACCCCTAGATTTAGGCTGAGTCAAGAGTAATTGTGCTGAAGACCTAGCAGCTCACCCAGGGACATATAGCATAAGGGGATCGGCAAGATAACGAGGGGCTAAATCATTTATAATTTTAAAGGTGAGCAACAATATTTTAAATTAAATACAATATTTTATGGGTAACCAATGCAAATCAATAAGAACTGGGGTGATAGAGGCATGCTTTTTGGTGCAAGTCACAAGGCAAGCTGCAGCATTCTGGACAAGCTGAAGTCTGTGAAGGAGAGCGGAGTGAAGACCAAAGTAGAGGGAATTACAGTAATCCAATTCTAGAAGTCACAAAAGCATGAGTGAGCTTTTCAAGATCTTTATGAGGGACACTTTATGAGTTGGGAGGCATGTATTCTGTAATCTGTAGTGGGATACATTTTAAAAGTAACCTTTCCAATATTATGTGTGAGAGACAATAATGCTTATGCTAGGCCTTCAAAAGGCTGAAGTTTAGCCAGGAAAGACCCTGACATGCAGTGCATGACACCACAGTTCTTGTTCTCAATAAATGCAGCTGAATTTATCGAGGAGTTTAAGATGATGTCATCCTGCCCTTTGCACCTAACAGCAACAACTCTTCTGGGAAGGCTGAGTGTGTTTATGGGAATCTTTGATCTGCACATAACCTTAAAATTAAAGACTTTAATAAGTGAATATGTACAGAAAAATCTTAGTTTAACATTAGTTTCAGTGAATTCACTCCTACACTTTGTGATGTCATGCTCCCAGCACCTCTGGGCATAAGCTGGAAACTCTCAGACTGACACCGGCTTCATCTACAAAAGAAAAACATCCATAAAATGTGAGCAAAGCTTAATTAAAACAGATGAACAGAGCACACTGTGTTTAGAGACACACAAACTATATTAAAAAGTGTTTAGATACTAATATAACTTATAATGTCTATTACAAGTCATTGCTAGTCATACTATTAATGACTATGTAATGACTGATAGTCTGCACATCACTGGATACAATTCAAATATAGAAAATAATCGAATGCTTACCTGATATACTCCCAGAGAAGATGTGTGGGGTGCAGCACAGATCTCCTCCTGATCATTCACGAATCACTTTTCAGTATCGTCAGGTCTGATGTTTTACTCAGCACTGAGATTTATTTTCACCATGATTCAAATGCTGTCTATGAAGTCATCTCACTGTGCGCGGTCCGTCAGGTGCATCCAGTCGATCCTGTTCAGCGATCTGCGGCAGGGAAATGATTTTCATGATATGGCTCATGTTTAAAAGCAAAACCATTTCAGTTCAATCCCAAGTGAGTCAAACCAAAAACGCTACAAAATAATAATGTATATTTTATGTTACTGGTTTACTTACTTACTTTTTGTTTTCTTTAGGAGTAGTAGTATATCCACGATGTCAGTTTTTCAGTGTAAACTGCAGATTACGTGCCTGAGAGCGTCTACCTTACCTGGAGGGCTGGTGATATTGTGTTGCATTCAGTTGCTTCCAGTAAAATTCAACTCCTCACCTGTTGCAGAACATGTGACTGTGACTTTCGGCATTTGACAGCTGGGATAGGCTGATCCTGATTTGGATAAGTAGAAGAAAAATGATGAAGCTCTATATATAATAATATACATAATCGAATCTATTAATTCTTACCCATTTTCTGAGTTAAAAGCCCTCTATAGAATAATACCTGCAGTGATTAATGTTTCAGCTGGTAACGCGCTGTTGAACTGATGATTTCTTAAACAACCATGTCCAAGGCAGGATCTTTTTTTGAGTAACCAGCTCTTGAGCTCTAAGAGACCTCGCTGCTGTCTAATACTAAAATACTGAAAAAATTAGATGGGACTTAATGACACCAGTGACTATATATATATATATATATATATATATATATATATAAACAAACACCCAGCACGCCCCTGCGGGCGGTTTATCCTTCAAGCTCGGGTCCTCTACCAGAGGCCTGGGAGCTTGAGGGTCCTGCGCAGTATCTTAGCTGTTCCCAGGACTGCGCTCTTCTGGACAGAGATCTCCGATGTTATTCCCGGGATCTGCTGGAGCCACTCGCCTAGCTTGGGAGTCACCGCACCTAGTGCTCCGATTACCACGGGGACCACCGTTACCTTCACCCTCCACATCCTCTCGAGCTCTTCTCTGAGCCCTTGGTATTTCTCCAGCTTCTCGTGTTCCTTCTTCCTGATATTGCTGTCATTCGGAACCGCTACATCGATCACTACGGCCGTCTTCTTCTGTTTGTCTACCACCACTATGTCCGGTTGGTTAGCCACCACCATTTTGTCCGTCTGTATCTGGAAGTCCCACAGGATCTTAGCTCGGTCATTCTCCACCACCCTTGGGGGCATCTCCCATTTTGACCTCGGGACTTCCAGGTTATACTCGGCACAGATGTTCCTGTACACTATGCCGGCCACTTGGTTGTGGCGTTCCATGTATGCCTTGCCTGCTAGCATCTTGCACCCTGCTGTTATGTGCTGGATTGTCTCTGGGGCATCTTTACACAGCCTGCACCTGGGGTCTTGCCTGGTGTGATAGACCCCAGCCTCTATGGATCTTGTGCTCAGAGCTTGTTCTTGTGCTGCCATGATTAGTGCCTCTGTGCTGTCTTTCAGTCCAGCTTTGTCCAGCCACTGGTAGGATTTCTGGATATCAGCCACCTCCTCTATCTGCCGGTGGTACATACCGTGCAGGGGCCTGTCCTTCCATGATGGTTCCTCGTCTCCCTCCTCTTTCTTGGGTTTCTGCTGCCTGAGGTATTCACTGAGCACTCGGTCAGTTGGGGCCATCTTCCCAATGTATTCTTGGATGTTCCTTGTCTCATCCTGGACTGTGGTGCTGACACTCACCAGTCCCCGGCCCCCTTCCTTCCGCTTAGCGTACAGCCTCAGGGTGCTGGACTTGGGGTGAAACCCTCCATGCATGGTAAGGAGCTTTCTTGTCTTTATGTCAGTGGCTTCTATCTCCTCCTTTGGCCAGCCTATTACCCCAGCAGGGTACCTGATCACGGGCAGGGCGTACGTGTTGATGGCCCGGATCTTGTTCTTACCATTCAGCTGACTCCTCAGGACTTGCCTGACCCTCTGCAGGTACTTGGTGGTTGCAGCCTTTCTAGCGGCCTCTTCATGGTTCCCATTTGCCTGCGGGATCCCCAGGTACTTGTAACTGTCCTCTATGTCTGCAATGTTGCCTTCTGGTAGTTCAATCCCCTCAGTTCTGACTACCTTCCCTCTCTTTGTTACCATCCGACTACACTTCTCCAGTCCGAACGACATTCCAATGTCATTGCTGTATAGCCTGGTAGTGTGGATCAGTGAATCGATGTCTCGTTCACTCTTGGCATACAGCTTGATGTCATCCATGTACAGGAGGTGGCTGACAACTGCTCCGTTCCGTAGTCGGTATCCGTAGCCAGTCTTGTTAATGATCTCACTGAGGGGGTTCAGGCCTATGCAGAACAGCAGTGGGGACAGAGCATCTCCTTGGTAGATCCCGCACTTGATGGTGACTTGTGCTATGGGCTTGGAGTTGGCCTCTAGTGTTGTACGCCACATCCCCATTGAGTTCCTGATGAAGGCTCTTAGGGTCCCATTGATCTTGTACAATTCTAGGCATTCCAGTATCCAGCTGTGGGGCATTGAGTCATAGGCCTTCTTGTAATCAATCCAGGCAGTGCACAGGTTGGTCAGTCTGGTCTTGCAGTCTCGGCTGACTGTTCTGTCTACCAGTAGTTGGTGTTTTGCGCCTCTGGTATTCTTGCCAATTCCTTTCTGTGTCCCACTCATGTATTGACCCATGTGCCTGTTCATCTTAGCCGATATGATGCCTGACAGGAGCTTCCATGTAGTACTGAGGCAGGTTATTGGTCGGTAGTTGGAGGGGACCGGTCCCTTCTTGGGGTCCTTGGGGATCAGGACCGTCCGACCTTCGGTTAGCCATTCCGGGTGTCTCTCGTTAACTAGCAGCTGGTTCATTTGTGCTGCCAGACGCTCGTGGAGTGCAGTCAGCTTCTTTAGCCAGTAGGCGTGAACCATGTCGGGCCCTGGTGCTGTCCAACTCTTCATACTGGAGACCCTTTCTTGGATATCTGCCACTGTGATGGTTACTGGACCCTGTTCAGGGAGGTCGCTGTGGTCTGCCCTCAGATCCACTAGCCACTGAGCATTGCCGTTATGGGTTGCGTCCTTCTCCCATATGCTCTTCCAGTATTGCTCCGTCTCCAGCCTTGGTGGTGCTGTTCTCTTATTATTGTTCCCTTGCCACTGAGAGTACACCTTTGCTGGTTCTGTGGAGAACAGCTGGTTTATTCTCCTGCCTTCTATCTCTCTGGTGTACCTCCTCAAGCGGCTGGCTAAGGCTGTGAGTCTTTGCTTGGCAGTTTCCAAGGCCTCAGGTATGGACAGTTTGCTGTATTTCTTATGCACCTTCTTTGTCGCACCTTTCTGCAACTCCGTTAGTTGGCTAACCTCCCTCCGTGCTACTTTGATCTTGCCCTCTAGCCTCCTTCTCCAGGGAGGGTACTGCCCCTTGTGGCTGTTCAACTTGTAGCCAAGCATCTCACTGATCACTGCTGCCGTATTGTAGATCAGCTTGTTAGTGTCGGTAATCGTGGTTGTAGGTATTGCCCGTAGTGCTGCATTAACATCATCTAGCAGACCTTCTGAGGGTACTTCACGTAATCTTGGTAACCGGCTACGGGGGATCCAGGTTTCAAGCTTGGCCATGATCCTATTTTTCAGGTCAGTTCCTCTCGCACTCAACGATCCTTCTCCTATCGCACTTGGGGCTATGTACCCAATCTCGGGTGGGGGTGATGATATCTCCCCCCTGACCTGGCGTCCTGACTCCTCCTTGCCATAGCATTTGTGTTGTACCTCGTCAATCTCTAGCTGTGAGAGCAGTCCCTTCTTTCGAATGTTGGAACACTGAGCTACTAGTTGTTTCGCCGTCATTGTGGATGTTGGGTATCGAAGAATCCATAGGTCCGTCATCCTATTCATGTAGCCCCTTCCGCCGGGGTTACTTGCGTAGTAGCATTCCAACAACGCCCTGTTTTCGTCTCTTGCCCACCGATGCCTTCTTGTTCCAGTAGCCCACTTTTCGTCAGGGTGCCCTGGTTCCTCAACACCTGACGCGGACCTTGTTGATCCGGGCGACGTCCGAGCCGGCATGCCTTCATATTTATCTGTCTCGCTCATGTCTGCGGTAGGCTCGCTTAGCATAGGGGGTCTAGCCTTAGGACCCTTACTGGATACAGACGCCCCAGGCAGGAATCGAACTTGCGATCCTCTGCTCCAAAGGCGTGTAGTCTAACCACTACGCTATCCAGCTGCTATATATATAGATATATATATATATATATTAGTTTGCTCACTTATTCCATTAATTTTTTGTTTGAATGGCATAAAAAGGTGAATAAATAACAAAAAAGGTAACTACAAAGCTGAATAATTCACATGTTAATGACTTTCTTCAGTTTTTGTGCGTGTGAACAACATAAAACCACTAAAAACATTTTCAGCTTTTTTACTGTATCAGAAAAAAAACTTGAACTTTGATCAAACTACAGCTGACACAAATCCAGTGTTTCAGCTGATTTGTAGAAATCAACATTAAACTATCAGGTTTTAATTTAAGACAAATCTTCATCAACAAAGGTGTGAAAGCTGCTGAGAAAGACGGCTTCTTTATGACAGTGTTCATACAAAAAGATAGCTGCACCCAGGGCTGGACTGGGACAGAAAATCGGCCCGGGCATGGGTTAGTGCCCGTTTGTGGCCTACAGCAAGCAGAAGCAGCTCTGGACCCAGATCAGTTTGTCATATCCTCCTGAGAGACCCAGCTTTTTCATCTATGTCCTTTCTAATGAACATTAGTTTGGTCTATATCTATTGACTTATTTAAGCGACACTACTAAGTCCTGATGCGCTCAATAAAACACAAGATATCTCATGATATCTCGTGTATTGGTGAACTCTTTTAGCTCCAAACAGGCAGGAAATCACAACAGTTAAACAGAAAATACGTTCTTCCTTGGTTCTCAGGAAGATATTTTATTCAATTTTTCTCTCACTTTGATGTGTATTTGTGGAGTTCCATCTTCCTATAATGTGAAGACAGCAAACATCAATGGCCTGGTGACCACAGCTCTTGCCAGCCACCTTTGCAATGGAGGCCAGAACATGGTCCATTAAGATTCTGTACTAAACCCACAAACAGAACTGATTGCATACTCTCTCCATTTATCGCATTAACAAATGACAAAACCCCAATCAGCTGATTTCTCATGTGCAATAACTTTAGTCCATTTACTGAAGCTGCACAACTTTCACTCTGTCATTCTATGATTATTTTCTGACTTACAAAGCCTTGGAGTAAATAGAGATGGGTATAGAATTAGATTTTTATGTTCCCCGAGAAACTTCTGAAAAAGTGTTCTAACAAATAAATAACAAAACACAACATTAAATAAGAGGTCATTGAATTTATTGCTAGTTTTAAATACATTTGACTTTCAAAGTATAGTGATAGTAAAACATATGGAAAAAAGACCAAAGGAGCACGAGTTGTAAAGATTTTTGGTTACCAGTTAATTTCAGTCTCTAACTATTATCTTACTCATCTTGTCAGTCAAAAACTGATGACTGACTGCACAGTGTTAGACAAAAGTCTACACAAGATGCAACTGGTTGTAAAATACAATATGCAGAATTCAAATAATACAAAACAAACAGATGCTTGCCTGATATATTCAC